ACCCCCCCCCCCCCCCCCCCCCCCCCCCCCCCCCCCCCCCCCCCCCCCCCCCCCCCCCCCCCCCCCCCCCCCCCCCCCCCCCCCCCCCCCCCCCCCCCCCCCCCCCCCCCCCCCCCCCCTCCCCCCCCCCCCCCCCCCCCCCTCCCCCCCCCCTCCCCCCCCCCCCCCCCCCCCCCCCCCCCCCCCCCCCCCCCCCCCCCCCCCCCCCCCCCCCCCCCCCCCCCCCCCCCCCCCCTCCCCCCCCCCCCCCCCCCCCCCCTCCCCCCCCCCCCCCCCCCCCCCCCCCCCCCCCCCCCCCCCCCCCCCCCCCCCCCCCCCCCCCCCCCCCCCCCCCCCCCCCCCCCCCCCCCCCCCCCCCCCCCCCCCCCCCCCCCCCCCCCCCCCCCCCCCCCCCCCCCCCCCCCCCCCCCCCCCCCCCCCCCCCCCCCCCCCCCCCCCCCCCCCCCCCCCCCCCCCCCCCCCCCCCCCCCCCCCCCCCCCCCCCCCCCCCCCCCCCCCCCCCCCCCCCCCCCCCCCCCCCCCCCCCCCCCCCCCCCCCCCCCCCCCCCCCCCCCCTCCCCCCCCCCCCCCCCCCCCCCCCCCCCCCCCCCCCCCCCCCCCCCCCCCCCCCCCCCCCCCCCCCCCCCCCCCCCCCCCCCCCCCCCCCCCCCCCCCCCCCCCCCCCCCCCCCCCCCCCCCCCCCCCCCCCCCCCCCCCCCCCCCCCCCCCCCCCCCCCCCCCCCCCCCCCCCCCCCCCCCCCCCCCCCCCCCCCCCCCCCCCCCCCCCCCCCCCCCCCCCCCCCCCCCCCCCCCCCCCCCCCCCCCCCCCCCCCCCCCCCCCCCCCCCCCCCCCCCCCCCCCCCCCCCCCCCCCCCCCCCCCCCCCCCCCCCCCCCCCCCCCCCCCCTCCCCCCCCCCCCCCCCCCCCCCCCCCCCCCCCCCCCCCCCCCCCCCCCCCCCCCCCCCCCCCCCCCCCCCCCCCCCCCCCCCCCCCCCCCCCCCCCCCCCCCCCCCCCCCCCCCCCCCCCCCCCCCCCCCCCCCCCCCCCCCCCCCCCCCCCCCCCCCACCCCCCCCCCCACCCCCCCCCCCCCCCCCCCCCCCCCCCCCCCCCCCCCCCCCCCCCCCCCCCCCCCCCCCCCCCCCCCCCCCCCCCCCCCCCCCCCCCCCCCCCCCCCCCCCCCCCCCCCCCCCCCCCCCCCCCCCCCCCCCCCCCCCCCCCCCCCCCCCCCCCCCCCCCCCCCCCCCCCCCCCCCCCCCCCCCCCCCCCCCCCCCCCCCCCCCCCCCCCCCCCCCCCCCCCCCCCCCCCCCCCCCCCCCCCCCCCCCCCCCCCCCCCCCCCCCCCCCCCCCCCCCCCCCCCCCCCCCCCCCCCCCCCCCCCCCCCCCCCCCCCCCCCCCCCCCCCCCCCCCCCCCCCCCCCCCCCCCCCCCCCCCCCCCCCCCCCCCCCCCCCCCCCCCCCCCCCCCCCCCCCCCCCCCCCTTCCCCCTCCGCCCTTTCTATTGCACTTCCCCTGTCAGAATATTATTGTCTAGCCTGCAGTGGGGTGCTCTATAGCGGGTACAACCCATCTAGGGTTTGCTATATGTATCCTCATTGCTGCTATGTGAAACCCTCTCTTTTGCCTAAACTTCTCTTGCCTAGCTTGGGCTTACCTAGCTCTGGCTCCTCACTATAGCTACTATTCTAACATGCTATCAGAGCAGAAATGCTCCTGGCCTGTGGGCCCACCTTCTTCCGCTGCTACTCTGTCTGTTGCACGGCCCGTGGCGTGCGACAACTTCTTCCTGCCGTGCGCCCCCGAGGCGCGCGGCGGTTTCATGCCGTGGGGACCCGCGCGCGGCCCCCGCCCTGCTTGTCGCGGCGCCCTGGGGGGACGCGCGGCCCCCGCCCTGCTCGTCGCGGCGCCCTGGGGGGACGCGCGGCCCCCGCCCTGCTCGTCGCGGTGCCCTGGGGGGACGCGCGGCCCCCGCCCTGCTCGTCGCGGCGCCCTGGGGGACGCGTGGCCCCCGCCCGTCCGCCGCGGCGCCCTGGGGAGCCGCGCGCGCCCGCCGCCCGTCCGTCGCGGCGCCCTGGGGAGCCGCGCGCGCCACCCCCCCCCGTCCCGCCCGTCCGTTTTGGCGCCCTGGGGGTAGCGCGCCGTCCCCCTTTGCCGTCCCCCGCGCTCCTGCCCCTCTCCCACCCGTTTTAGGGTTTGGGGGTGAGGAGTGTGGGGGTGGCGGTTGTGGGGGTGTCGGTTGTGTGCGCCATCCCCTACTTCTCCTCCTCCTTCGTCTCCCACTGCTGCAGCTGTCGCTGAGGGGGGTGGATGTGTGGGAGTCTGGGGTTTAGGGTTTAAGGGGGTGCCGTGGGAGTGGAGCTAGGGTTTGAGCAGGGGGTGTGTGTCGAGGGTGTGGGGCAGTTGGAGGAGGTCGTGTGGAGGTACCTGTCGTGTCGCCTGCAGCGCCTGTAGTCCGTCGCCCTTGCTTCGGTAGCCAGTGAGCCTGCTGCACTAGTCGCCAGTGGGTCCGTTTGCTCCTGCCGCTTGTCTATAGCCGCCGAGCCAGTTACTCCAGTAGTCCGTCGCCCTTGCCTTCGGTAGCCTCTGAGTCAGCCGCTCCTGTGCCCGTGCCTCTGCAGCTTCAGTCGTTGCCTCCCATCTTCTCTCTCTTCACAGTTCCTCCTCCTTCTCACTTGCCCGCTGTGATTAACTCTAGCTTTACTTACTACTGTGAATTCTTGCTCTATGCCTGCTCATTGTGCTGATTACACCCCACTTTGGCTATGGGGGTGTGTCAGAATATTATTGTCTAGCCTGCAGTGGGGTGCTCTATAGCGGGTACAACCTATCTAGGGTTTGCTATATGTATCCTCATTGCTAATATTGACAGCCAGAGCTGACAAACGGCAGTTGGCTGAAATCTCGCACCAGCCCCAATGCGAAAGACAAAGAGAATGGCCAATAGCTGCGAGAACAAAGAAAGCACTCCTTTCCTTCTCCTCCCCAGTGATACTAGATGTTGCTGACGTTAAGCGGTTCTTCCTCTCTTATTCTCTCACATTTCCTTCTTATCCTCTCATTCCTCCCTCTGTGCCACTCCCAGCCAGAGCAACTTGCCCTTTTGCTGGCGATGGCGAGTGGTTCTTCTTCGCATCCCGTGACCTCAAGTACCCATCAGGGTCCCGATCCAACCGAGCCACAGCTGCTGGGTACTAGAAGGCCACAGGGAAGGATAAGCCAGTGTACGCGCAACTATCAGGCAGCAGCAGTGGTAATGATGGCAAAGGGGACCAGGCAGTCAGGCTGGGATTCAAGAAGACTCATGTCTTTTACAAGTAAGTTAAGTGCTTGCTTCTCCCTTCCTCTCCCCCGGTCACAGACACGATGTTGGCTTTGGTGGGTCGACGGTTTGTCTCATTATTTTGGAATGCTCGTTTGTATTTGGATTGTAATTTTGGATCTTTGAATATATTGCGTGGGCTATGTTGTTGGTTTGAGTTTTGATATTTCTTGTTTGTGTTTGGAGCTTGAATTTCAGATTTCCTAATTGTTTGTATAGCTCAATCTTGAAAATTGTTTGTTTCTTAGTTTGTTCTTGTTTGTTTGTTTGTTTGTTTGTTTGTTGTTGTTGTTGTTGTTGTTGTTGTTGTTGTTGTTGTTGGTGATGGTGGTGGTGGTGGTGGTGGTGGTGTGTGTGTGTGTGTGTGTATGTGTGTGTGTGTGTGTGTGTGTGTGCCGTGCGCGTGCGTGTGCGTGCGTGCATGCGTGCGTGTGGGTGTGTCTGTGTGTTTGCAATTGTGGCCAACAGGGGGCGAGCGCCAGGAGGGGACAAGACTGACTGGGTGATGCACGAGTACCGGCTGACAGAGGATGCGCCTGAAGTTGGACCAGCTGCCACAGACAAGGCACCTGCTGTAACTGTATCAGCCAGATCGGATCCAGAAGCAGCTGCTGCATACGCACCTGCTACGCATGAAAGCATCACAGCTGGTGTTGATGCAGCAAGTGGTGCTGATAAAGACAGAAACAGCAGCAGAAAAGGTGAAGCGACCAACCCATACACCAGGGGTACGGGTGGTGCAGCTGGTGGTTTGGCCAGCAGCACCAGCAGCCCCGAAGCCAACAGCCCAGAGCTTCATCTGTTTTTTGAAAATTCTCAAAAAACAGATCCAGCGACTAACCCAGACACCAGATTTACGGTTGGTGCAGCTGGTGGTTTGGCCGGCAGCAGCAGCAGCAGCAGCCCCGAAGGCAACATCCCAGAGCTTCAAGCTGGCATTGGTCAAAGGATTGACGCAGCGTCGTGGGTGGTTGTGCGGGTGCTCAAGCGAAGCTCCCTGACAGCTGAGGAGCAAGCAATGGTGGCACAGCAGGGGATGGCAGCCACAGCAGAGGATGGCAGCACAGCAGGGGATGGCAGCACAACAGGGGATGGCAGCACAGCAGGGGATGGCAGTACAGCAACAGGGAGGGCTGCCTATACTGGGTGTGAATCCGTGGCTCTTAGTGCAGAAAGGGAGCGGAGCAGAGCAGCATCCAGGTGACGCTGGGGGGCCTGGGAGCACAGGTTTGGCTGGTAGTGAAGGTGGTGCTACTGGCTCAGGTGGACTGCCTTTACAAGCTGTGAATCCGTGCCTCTTAGCGCAGAAAAGGAGCGGAGCAGAGAAGCTACCAGGTGACACTGGGGGGGCTGGGAGCACAGGTGGTGCTAGAGGCTCAAGTGGCGCTAGTGGTTCAGCTGGTGCGAGGGGCTCAGGTGGTGCTGGTGGCTCAAAACAGGTGAATAATGAGCAGGGACATGATAGGGGAGTTAGAGGAATGGCAGGGGAAGGGCGTTTGGTGCTTCAGCATGAGTTGTACGCAGGATTGTACCGGTGGTGTGGGAGGTGGTGAGGTGGCAAGGGCTTGTGGAACTGCATATAGGAAGGGAGGCCTGGGACCAGCCGATGAGTTCCCTGAGGGTGTTAATGTGCATGCCGTGACTTTCAGGGGTGATTCACCCTCAGACAACTCAAAAGGACACCAGTCAGTCAGTCACTTGCTGAACTCCTCGTGCGAGATGCCTGTAGATATGCCGCGCAGCAGTGCAGCGAGCCGAGCGACAGCGGTGATTCTAGAGTCGACTCAAACGTCGGCGGAGGAGGAAAAGGCAGCAATAGCTCCGGTGGTAGCGGCAACAGGAGAAGCAGCGGGAGCCGCAGAAGCACCAGTAGTGATGGAGGTAGCGGGAACAGGAGGAGCAGTGGGAGCAGCCGTGGGAGCAGCAAGGGGAGCTGGTAACCTCTCTGCACATCTAGGTCTCGCCTCCCCTCTCCCCTATCCGTTCAGCTCGCACTCTGGCCTCTCTCCTGCCCCATTTCTCCTACCCAGTGCTGGCAGCGACAGTCAGCTAGTGCATCCAGGGTTATTTCTCCAGGAGCAGCAACACAGTAAAGGAGCAGTGCGGCAAGGGTTATTGCCCCAGCAGCAGCAAAGCAGCAGCGCAGCACTGCAGCAAGGTTTGGTGCAGCAAGGGCTATTGCTCTACCAACAGCGAATCAGCCATGCAGCAGTGCAGCAAGGGCTGGTGCAGCAGCAGCAGCAGCAGCATCATGGCCAATACCACCAGCATCAGATCCTTCAGCAGCAAGAACTTCGTTCTGGTCTGCCATGGCAGAGAAGCGTTACTGGACTCCACAACCGCAGCAGGGATGTGACTGCTGTTGCAATGGGCACCAGCGATGCTCACATTGAAGTTGAACCAAAGGTGGAGCCTGTCGGAGTATGGCCGACGCTGCAAGTCGGTATGTGCACAGGGGAGGAGCACCCAACTGGTAGTGCTGGCTCAGATGAGGTGGGCAACAGAGCAGCAGGTGAAGGGATCCGTCAGAAGGATATGCACCTACTGGCGGATCTTCTCAGATATCTCTTAGGAAATCAGGTCGCCACTACCGCAGATGCTGCAACCAGGACTTGTCTCACTGTCGCTCCTGTTGTAGCAACCCCATACGTAGCTGAAGTACCCGTATATCCGGTTGTGGTGCCCCCACATGTGGCGGTATCAACCTCGACAGGAGCCCAGCAGGGGAAAAGGCACAAAGCACAGCACACAGTGAAATTTGAGTACCAGGACCAACAGTGCCAGCAGCAGCAGCAGCAGCAGCATGGCCAATACCACCAGCATCAGATGCTTCAGCAGGACCTGCCTCAGCAGCAGAGAGCTTCCCCGTGCCAGAGAAGCGTGTCGTGCCCTGCTGCCCCTCTACCACTTCACACCCCCAGTCAAGACGTTAACCAGCTTTGAAACACCCCGTCGTGCCTCCCACGGCCCAGAGTATGACCACCCTAAGTTGTTGCAAGGGGCGTTGGACGGACAGGAAGGGCAAGGGAGGTTATGTGTGGGAGACTCATGTGATTCTCTGCTGTATACCAATGTGTGGGAGAACGGTGGGCTAGATGTTGCTGTAAGGGGGGAGGAAGGAGAGGGGAAAGTAGGAGGAGGGGATGGCAGGGTCGGTGGCTTGGAGAAGATTTTCCGACCCACCAGGGGGTGTGAAGGAGCACAGGGCTCTGAAATGGATCACAGACAAGTGAAATTTTCAGGAGGGATAGCAGCAGCAGGGGTAGCAACAGCAGGGGTAGCAACAGCAGGGGTAGCAACAGCAGGGGTGGCAACAGCAGGGGTAGCAACAGCAGGGTAGCAACAGCAGGGGTAGCAGCAGCAGGGGTAGCAGCAGCAGGGGTAGCAACAGCAGGGGAAGCAGCAGCAGGGGTAGCAACAGCTAGTTCAGGGATGGCAGCTGCTCCTTTGAAAGTTACATTAACTGGGGCAAAACCAACTGGTGCAGGTGTGATGGCAGTAGGGGATGGAGTTGCAGCAGCAGGGGTAGCTGCAGCAGCGAGAGAAGGAGTGGACCTGCTGACATCACTCGATGGGCTGGAGGAGCTACCAAATATGGAGGCACTTTTACTGAATGGGGAGGGAGAATTGGGCATGATCAGCAGCAGCATGGTGAGGGTTATCAAGCAGCTTCCCAATAGCAACACCGTGGGCGTCATCCAACCCACTGGCAGTGGTATTCCCATCAGCCAACCGCCTGAGGAACTGGCACCATTCAAAGCACTGGGACCTTCCCTGTTTACGACAATGCATGGTGGGTCTGAAGGCTCATTTGCACCAAAGGACGGGCTTGATGCGGTAATGACTGCTTATCATACTGCCAACACCACCAGTAGCAGTGAGGGCATGCGGTCAAAGGGCCAAGGCGTTCTGTTGCAGCCTGGATCATTTTTCCCAGCTCCGGGGAGTGTGTCAGTGGCTCAGACACGGGCGGAAAAAGCAGCAGAAGCAGGAGACAAATCGGTCGGAGCGGGTAGCAGCAGGGGATACAGAGGCAGCTGCTGCAGGCATGATTGTCAATGTGTCGAGGGAATTACAATGGGGAAATCTGGGATTGTGCAGCGGCGAGGGCAGTGAAAGGATGATGCTATCCCCCAAAAGGATTCGTGAAGAGGAATGCTGAGTCTTGCTAAGAGCATGTGTTTCATGAGTCTTTGTCTATCTGGGGGCTGTTGTGTACATAGAGTGGTGGTGGCATCTCTAGCCAAGGAGAAACAATTAGAGTTGACATCTGAAGATAGGGTTGTTTTTCTTCCATCTCCCTCAAGTGCTAAAACTTGTGTTCCATCATTCCCCAGATATGGAACCAGGTTCCCTTATTATAAGATAGAAAAAATCGCTGCTTTGGCTGTAATCTAACAACATTATGGGCAAAACGTAATGGCATATTATTGATACACCAAACTGTAGATCTTGTCATTGGTGCAATAAACCCCTTACCGCCAAATGCGCAAATCATAGGCATGTGCATATATTCTCTATATAACGGTAGTTCGTCCTTTGCGTAGGCTCTCTTGGTTCTCCATATGGAGAGGCCTTTCCACATAATTGAAATATTTGTGTCACATACGAGTGCAAGTAAACGTAATGAATGGGGTCGTGATGAGCATAGGAAATACTAACAGCTTGAATGTAGTTTTTACTGTTAGAAATGAATGGAATGTTAAGTGCGTCCTTAGTAGGTTTTTCTGTTTGTTTCTTTTCATCTACTCCCATGGCTTCTTTTGGGTTTCTTAGGGTAAGGGGAGCTGCTTTTTGCAAATATGAAGGACACTACTCCTAACATCATATGTCGACGCTATCCATTGAACCTGAGTCAGGTGTACTACAGCTGCATAAGTAGCAGAAGGAGCAGGAGCCATAGCAGAACCACCGGAAGCAGAAACAGGAGCAGCACTGGGAGAAGGTCTAGTAGCTGCTGCTCCTGCAGTGGCGTTGACTTAACTTCCAAGGAGGGACCTGAGAAGATCAGCCAGTTTATGCATATCCTCATGCCGAATCCAGTGACCTGCTGCTCTGTCACCTAGCTCAGAAGACCCAGCAGCACCGCCTGGAGTAAAACTAGTACCAGCAGCAGCAGAAACGGCAATGGCAGGAGTTGGAGGAGCAGCAGCAGCGGCGGTGTGTCTTGGAAGGGTTGCTGGAGTTTGAAATTGAAGAGGCTGAGGGGCACCAGAGGAGGATGCAGCGATGGAAGAAGAAGTAGAAGGGTCGAGCCGGTGCAGAGGAGCAGACCAAGAAGAGGCAGGGCCCGCAATCACCTGCTGGTAACAGCCCTGTTGGCGTGCGCTGTGGTTCTGCTGTTGCTGAGAGATAGCCGTGTAGCCAGCTCATTGATTCGGTGCTCCCATGAGTGGGAGAAAGGGATTTTGGACAGGAGTTCCGGTTGGGGTGTGGGAGAGGGGGAGGGATTGGAGTGATCTGGCTGCTACCAGAGAAGTAGCAGCTGATGGAGGTGGTACTGTCACTCTTTCTGATGCTGCCATGTGCTCCTCCCCAATGCGCATCGCCCTCTGCACAATCTGCCATGCCCCAGAAGGATCTGGCTCTTTTCAACTTGGAGCGTCTCCTGTACCCACCACTAGCCATTCAATATTTCTCTTCATGCCCTCCCAACCGTCATTCACCCTCTCCACCTGCTCTCTATCTCCCCTTTCTCCTGCACCGCCACCATCGACGCTGCTTCTGGGTGGCTTTTCTTCAAACTGATGCTGCGTGAAGGATGGCTCGTTATAGAGCGCTTGCGCTGGGCCTTACTCCACTGCCGCGATGTTGCGATGCTGCTGCTGGAGCAATACTTCTTGCTGCACTGCTGGACTGCTGCTTAGCTGCTGCTGGATCAACAGCTGTTGCTGTACCACTCGTCTGATGTGCTGCTGCTGCTGCTGCTGCTGCTGTTATAGTCACAGTAGGCTCCAATGTGCCTAAAACGAAAGATAGAGTGCACAGCCGGATTTCTGCACAGCGGCTTCAAACGTTCATAGCGTTCTGGTCACAGCTTCAAATGACTTGATTCAACTTGGATCTGGAGCGTCTTATTGTCGCCTACAATAGGCAATTTAGATCGCACGATTTCACCAAGTATTGACGACACAACGTCAGTTTGAACGAACGGCACTATGGCAGCCACTATAGTCTTAGAACACAAGATAGGAAGAGTACGAGTTGGGAATGACTCCCAGCTCCTACAAACCCCAAGAGCCGAGGTACAGTGATGTGGAACAGTGCCACACTGTCCCCAACCACGAAGGGTCTCGAAACTACCCTTCACTAGGGCCTACACCAAGTGAAATGTTACACTACACAAAGTAATGTAACTATCTTCAATATCTTGAGGTGTACCCTTTTGGCGAGCTTCGAAATCACTTGAGGCTTGACACCAAGGCTCGGGCTCTTCATCACAAACTCATCCTTGAGTTCTTGATGGGTCTGCTGCACACACCTGCGACACGCCGAACGTTCGATACAGGACAAAATAGAAACCGCGCACGACAAAATAGAAACCGCGCGCGAGACACAAACGACCGCGTAACACGCGTCTAGCGATAACTCGCTATTGACTCAACACACACACTCGACATCATGACTCGACATTCACACACAATTATAAGCATGAAATATATATTATTCCATGCCCTCATACCATTCCATACACACACACATGCACGCACACGGACAACAAGCCGAGTGCAAACCGTAGGGTTGCACCAACAAACTCACCCTCGGATTGTTGGCCTTAGGATATGTTGCTCTCTCAGTTCAGAGCCATCCCAGCCAGCTTGCAACACTTCCAATGCTGCTGCTCCACCAGCCTCTTGGTCATCATGTCAGCCGGCTGCCCCGTGGTCTTCACGTAGCGCAACTCAACTTCACCCGCGGTTACCATGCTCCTCGTCCAATGCCACTTCACCCTCATGTGCTTCGTGAGTCCATGCAACACAGGGTTCTTAGCAAGAGCAATGGCACCCTGGCTGTCACAGTACAGTGGGGTAGGTCCTTGCTGCTCCTCCCCCAATTCAGCCAACAAACGCCGCTGCCACACAATCTCCCGTACGGCACGGAAGAGTGCCATGTACTCGGACTCCACCGAGCTCAAAGCTTGGTCAACCTGCTTCTTGCTCTCCCAAGCAGTTGGGCCTCCACCAACACAGCATATGAAGCCTCCCACACTTGTCATGTCCTCTGGTTCTGATGCATATGAAGCATCCGAGTAGGCGGTGAGGAACAAACGCCCGGGTTCAACACCATCCGCGCCCTTTTTGGCGCCTTTGTGCCGCCGCCGAGTATTGCAGCCCAACGGTCGGTGTTTGGCCAAGATACTTGGCCACCCTCATTCCAGCTGCTATCTGCTCCTCATTAGGGCATTGCACAACCCTAGCCAGCTGCCCGGTAGCAAACGCGACGTCCGGTCGGGTGTTTACCGCCGCATACATGAGGCTGCCCACCAACGAGTGAAATCGGCGCCTCTCCTCTTCTCCAACGCTCTCCTCCTCTGGCCCCTTCACACACTTGAACCCAGAGGGAAAGGGAGTAGCCACATGACCTTCACTCTGGCCGAAGTTGGCAGCCAACGCCTCCAGGTACTTCCGTTGGTGCACTCGCATGCTCCGCTTCTCCACGTCTCGTTCGATGTGGAGCCCAAGGTAGAAGTTCACGTCACCAAGGGACTTGCACTTGAACTTGTCTTGCAGCTTCAGCATCACCTCCTTCACAAGGTCAGGAGAGGGTGAGAAGATCAGGATGTCGTCCACGTACACCACGATGAAGCTCCTCTGCTCCCCCTCGCCAAGCATGAACAAGGAGTGATCGGCCGTTGAGGGAGTGAAGCCGATCCCCTCCAACACTTCGCGCAGCTTCATGTACCATTGCCTAGGGGCCTGCTTCAGCCCATAGAGGGCCTTCTTCAGCTTCCACACTCTGCCACTACCATCATCAAACCCCTCTGGCTGCGCCATAAAAATCTCCTCCTCAAGGATGCCGTTAAGGAATGCCGTTACGATGTCCATTTGCTTTACTGCCCATCCTTTGATGGCGGCTCCCGCGAATAGGGTTCGCAGCGTCGTCGGCTTCACCACAGGGGCAAACAGCTCCTTGAAGTCCACCTTCTCCTTCTGCTGGTACCCCTTGGCTACAAGCCTAGACTTGTAGCGCTCGATCTTGCCGTCGGCATCCGACTTGATTTTGAAGAGCCACTTGGACGTTATCGCCGTACGCCCCTCCGGTAGCTCCACCAATTCAAACGTGTCATTCTCCTCGATGCTCTTCAGCTCACTCTCCATGGCCTTCTTCCACTCCTCAGCATCACTACTCTCCAAAGCCTCCTTGAGAGTTGCTGGTTCTCCCGGCATCTCCACCGGAGAGAAGAACGCGAAGGCACACTCCTCGTAGTCACTCTCCTCGTCGTCTCCGACCATCATTGCCACTCCGGCCAGGGCTGTCTTGCCCTGCTTTCCCGGCGCATCATAGGTCAGCCTATTAGGGGGTTGAACTCTCATCTTCCCCCTTCCTTCCTCCTCAGCTGCAGGGACTTGAAGGCCTTGGCGTTGCTGCGGTGTGGCTCGAATCCGTGGAGCACTCGTAGTACGGGAAGGGAGTGACGGTGCACGCTCGC